GAGTTACAAATAAATATACTCTATACATCCTATTTTATAAGAAGTTATATTTATTTGTTTATTATTTTAATATTTAAACGAAACTTGCAACATGTATATCAACAGTTATAATACGATTTTTTGGTCTCGGTATGTCCACAACTAAGAAAATCTTTATCAATTTTTTGGAATTTTTCTTTGTGATGGGCGTTAGGTTTGTTAGGGATCTCTCATTAAATGTTGGACACGTCCTGTCCAAAACTTTATTACATTTGCCATCAATACAAAATAAATTTCAAATATCGGCGCTGGATTAATTTACCATGATGTTCAATGACTTACATCCATCATCAAATGTAACTAATGACAACAATAATACAAACATGAACCAAAAACTGTCAAAATTCCATGGCTTTCTAATAGAAAAACCTGTATTCCGTGCCTGTTTTGATAAAGTTCCCAATATGAGAGAAACTACAATAAATAGGTATGGAAATGTTTATAGATAATCTGTAGAGAATTAAATTACCTTTCTGATAGGATAAGAAAATATGGGGCGTTTCATTTAAAATTTTCTACTTTCTCTCCATTGAATATGGAGAAACGGTAACTCAATTTTTGACCAGCCTGTATAAGATACTCAGATACAACAAATCACAGTCTATTTGATAGCATCTCAAGAGTAGTCATGCCAATTTAGAGCTTTTTTGAACGTTGGCTGAGATATGGGGTTTTAAAGAGCATGTTGAAATTTGCCAAAAAAATCTTAAAACCAAAATAACTCGACAACGAAAAACACTAACATAAGTACCAACAACTTTTATCAAAGTCAACATATGTTTTTACGTACAATTGCAAGGTGCAATAAAAACTATAGCCACAGTATAAAGTAAAGCAGTAGTCTCACTTCGTGTCGGCACGTTTGACGTCGTGTCGGTAGATTTTTTACTGCGCATCCGCTGCGCGCACCATTGAAATAAATGTTACAACAAACTTTTATGTCGATGATAAAGATCACGCACTCATAAGGTAGCAAACGTAGCATGAATGCGCGCAGCGTGTGCGCTGTAGCAAATCTCTGGACGTCATATAAGGGAAGTGAGACTACTGATTTACTTTATACTGTGCTATAGCATTCCATTTAAAATAAGGAAGTTATAAAACTAACTTTACAGAAGAAATACGTAGGATCGCTGAGATTGGTTTGAGGAACGGTTTTAACATCAACGAAATACAGAGTTTTTATAACAAACTTCATAACAATAATATAATCCAATTAATTTTTCCCGCTACTAAGTTGAATACTTCTTACATAAAAGTCCCTTTTCACCCTAATTTGCAATATGTCTTCAAAAACAACCTTACTAAATTTAATATTACACCCGCATTTTCAAATTCTAACAAAATAGGTCAAATCTTAATTAATAATAAACACAGATTTAAGGAAAAGGAGAAAAGTGGCATATATAAAATCAAGTGTAACGAATGCGAATGTTTTTACATCGGACAAACAGGACGCAACATCAATATAAGGTACAAAGAACACATAAAAAAAAGAAAATTCAGCTTTTTACAAACATTTAATTTCAAAAAACCATTCTCCACACCCTAACAATATCAATATTATCAAAAATTTGAAAAAATCAAAGTTAATGGATTTTTATGACGAAATGTATATCGACCTGTATAAAAAAACATTCCCTGATTTGATCTTAAATGATATCACTGATTTCAATAATCACAGATTTTATTTGATTTTTTGAATCTCCATACAACGTGTTTGGCCTGTCACACAGTAAATTTTATTTTTGTCAAGTTCGCATTTATAGTGAATTTTTATTTCTAAATGTTTTTATTTAACCTGTTACTTCCTCTTTATCTTTCTCTCTACAACATGTCACGCTGAAGAATACACGTTTTAGGTAATCGCTCTTAAAATTTTATTTTTACGCTTTTAATCTTTGTTTTTCCCTTTTTAGTTTTCTGAATTTTTCTTTTGTTTTGTAACTTCATGTTGTGGAAAGAAATTTAAGCATTTATTTTTTGTTTTTAATTTTCAAAATCCTTTAATTTTTAATTTAATTTTTATTTAATATGCGCATGTTACATTTCTGAATAGATTTTTAGTTCAGTTGTTTTGTTATTTTTCATTTAAAGTTAAAAATTTTTCTTGTTAATTATCATTCTGATTTAATTTTAATTTTTGTAAATTTTTTAAATTTTTCAATTTGCTACGTTTTGTTTTTATATCTTTTTCGAAAACTTCTCAAATTTAATATCGTTTAAATCTTCAATATCATTTCATTCTAATTCATTTTAATCTTAAACCCTTTAATATTCAACTTGTAAAAATTTTATTTTTTGAAATTTTCCCTTCTCTTTCTCTCTACAACAATTTGTTTTTTAATGAAGTTTTTGTTAACATTCCAATGTATGTACATCTTATGCAAGTTTTGCCATTAAATTTCCGAAAGTTCCGAATGAATAACCCATGCTACCAAAATTTCAAACCTCTGCGAATAGTGGAACCTGAAAAAGTTCTAACGAACTAGTTACGTGAGACAACCTGTATATCATTTCTATATCCTTTTTATGGTAATTTGATGAAAGTCTTAGAATAGTGTGGTTATTAGAAAATGCTAAAGAAATGTTATACATTGAAAAAATATGTTGAGCTTTTAAGGTAATGTGATTGAATTTTATAGGCTTGTATGTTATCATGGACATTCTTAAAAAACAAAGGATCTTTTTGTTGTTGAATATTAGAAAATAATTTAAATGTCATTCAAATATTCAACTGAACTGTTGCTTTATTGTTAAAAAATTAAGTAACAATGATAGAAGTCATTTCTAAAGGTGAATTTAATTGGGAAGTTTGAAAAAAGGATGTTGACATTAAGTGAAACAAGAATACTATTCTCTTCTATATTAAACAAATTTTGGTTATTTCAATTAATTGGTATGAATTACGAATTGAAAATTTAGGAATGAAGTTAATCTTTTTAAATTGTATATGCATCATAAACTTTACAAATTTTTAAACAGATATGTGGTTTATGCAATTTTGGGAGAGTCTATATGCATGTATATCACAAACTTCTGGCACTATTTTTGTAAAAACTGCCATACAGAGTTTCTCCGGGCCTGTTTCAGCTAAAATATTTTTAGTTTTCCACAATTTCCGGTTATACCGAAAATGGACCGTTATTTTAAACGTAACGTACCAATTTTTATTGAATTTTCGAGATCCCCGCTAAATTTTAACACAACTTGATATAAGTAATAATAATAATAATAAATGCCTTTATTAGAAAATAAGCTTAATTGTATAAAAAAAACATACAAAAGAAAATAGGCGAGTTCCAGCTTGTACTAAGTTAGTACAGCTGCTCTAAGTCATCATATCTACATAGCACCATTTTTGAATTATTTCAATAATTATTACATTCATTATTACAATAAGAATAATTTTTCGAAATTAGATTCGAATCAGGACAAATTTTTTAAAAATTATACATGTGGTCAGAAATTTGCGGTAAATTTCCCTATCACGAGAAGTCACATTTTTCAAGAAACATCACGATTTTCGGCTTTCAAAGTACAGAAAGAGATATTAGTTATCAGGTATGTTATTATTAAATTAAGAAAAAAATACGAAATATCTAATTAATTATTATTAATTATTATAGTTGATTTTAAACACAAAAACAACTTCACCGTTAAGTATACACTACGACCACTACGTCATTCTGCGAGGACCTTTCGGCAATATGAAAATAAATCCAAGAATTCATCGTTTTGATTTCTCAGAGCAAGAAAATGAAAGTCCATATGTACCACTTTCTTTGCCGGATACGGCGGAATGTAATCATCTTCTTTCGGCTAAGACAATTAATTTTAGATTGATTATGTTTTTGGCGTCAAAATAAAATGATTATATCGAAATTGAAATTCGGTAAATAAAAAGAAACATTAAATGTAATCGTGTCGATATTATTTTTAATTATTTTCGCTTTCGAAAGCAGTATTTCTTTTTCTAACATTTCTTTGTTGTTATTTTTTTTTCTCACTTTGAAGAGATCTGCGTAATACATAGAATGAATCTCGCCTTTTTTATATACGCGTAAAAAGATTAAGAAAAATGAAATTATGTAGTGTTAGTGATTAAGTTGGGGAAAAATTTAAAACATTGAAAATTTGATTTATTTACGTAGAAAAAATCTTTCTTTCGTTTTTGATTATTTTTCTTTATTATTAAAGGTTTATATTTAATGTTTTTGACTTGATCTCGTTATATTAATTGTTTTATTTAAGATTTTTTGATTATAAAAAAATTATTTTATTAATTATTTAAATTAAAATCTTTACAAATAATGAATTCTTAGTTTATAAGAATTAATTGAATTGGGGTTTAATTTAAGGATTTTATTTGCAAAATTTGCTGTTTATTATAAAAGGTTTAATTTTTTTTTAATGGATTAAATTTAACTACTAGAATTGATATGAGTATGGCAATTAATAATGCAATTTGATAAGAATTATGTATAGTTTATAATTCATTTACACATCAGCGTGAGTTTTTGTGTTAACATTTTTGTGATTGAATCTTTTAAGGCACGGTTTGTAAAACTCTAATGTATCTTTAAGTTTTCTTTTTCATTATTTTGTGGATGTAAACTAGGAAAGCAAATTTAATTTGTAAATCCTGTACAGCTAACAAATAAAAGAAAATATATACAACATTTATTGTTTTCTTCCGTTGAAATTCATTGAAATGCATCAAAACATTTCGTTTATGTTTGAAATAATCAAGATAACTCTATATGATGCATCAACAACAATTTATTATTCCTCCTTGCAATATAATAGACAAAAAATTTTGTGTTTTTAGTTTTTAATGTCTTAACTACTTTAAGTGTTCTTCTTAAGTTTTTTCTTTGCAGATGCTGTAGCACATAACCAAATTCAATAAACTTATTAACTTTATATCTGAATGCAACATTAATTATTATTATTAGTGCTTATTTGGATTGGACAGTTTTCATGAATGTAAACATCGAAAATCCCGTTTGCAATAACTGAAATAATATTGAGTAATATTAAAAAATTATTAATAACATACATTTTGTGTTACGGAAAGAAAAATCCTCATATTCCATGTCCACATTCCCGCAATAATCTCATCGGGCTTTTGGGAACGAAGCATCATCATGCATAATGCTTTAGTGGTTTTTGGTTGGTGCTTCAAGTGCCAATTTGTATCGTAAGCGGCGAAATGAATACTTTGAGTCTAAAATAAAAGTGCAACTTTGTTTATTTAGGTAATAAGTATAAAATAATATCATTACTTGAGTAGCAATTAGTTCCCCAGCAACGCTATAAAGAAACATTTGCACCAAGATGCTTAATAAGTAGGGAACAAATCTCAAAACGACACCTAAATCGTTTTGAAATAACATTAAAAAATAAATTCCTGTACAAACTCCAGTTAAAGTGGCCGCTAATTGGTGCATTAAAATCGTTGAAAATTCGTTGTTAATATTCTTGATAAAATTCAAAACTATGCAGTGTTTTTTTACTAATTCCGTTATTTTTCGCATATTTTCATCATCGGTCTTGTTTGCGTCGTCTTTCATATCGCTCAAACTTATTTTAATTTTTTCTAGTTCGCAATAAGCTACCGTGATTACAGCCAACGTGAAACCATCGAATCCAATTATGTTAAAGAACATTAAAGTAGCACCAAATATTTGTAGTATGTAGTGGTAAACGTAACAATGATTACTTTCCAAAGGGCAATGTTTCGTGTACCAGATGACCGGAAGCATTTTCTCAAAATACAGCAGCGGTTTTAAAACGTACAAACTAAAGCAACAGCCCAATAAAACCGCGAAAAACTTAAGCCCTTTGTTCATGTAAATGTAGAGCGGTGTTACTAATTTTTCCAATTCTCCTGCTGGAAAATATTGTAACAACAATACAACATTTTTGTAAATATCTTTTCGATTTATTACGGTTATAATATATTTTACGATGATCTAAAATTATAAAAATGATTATTGAAAGTTGAATAAGTGGATACAAGAAATTGACGTTATATAATGTATCCTACTTATAGAGGACTGATAATATTTTTGCAGATGACTAAGTTTTGCTGACAAATGATTAGATACTGCCATTCGAAAAGTAGATTCTCTTTATAAAGTCTGGATAATGCTAACAAGGTACTAAATACCGCTAATAGAATTCCTGATCTTCTTATAGAGATAAGGTACTGCTGGCAAGAAACTAGATCTTGATGTAGAAGACTAAGTACTGCAGTTAAATGATTAGATACTGCGACTGAACAAGTAAACTCTCTTTGTAGAGAATTGGATACTGTTGATAAAAGACTAAATACCGCTAACGCAGTTCCACAACTGCTTACAGTGACTAGATACTGCTAGAGTAAGGTAGATTTTGTTGTAAAAGACTAAATATTGCTGCTAATGACTAGATACTGTCGCTGGTAAAGTAGATTCTCCTTATAGGAGACTGTACAGTGCTGTTAAAAGACTAAATACAGCTAATACTATTCCAGACCTGCTTTCAGAGATGAGATACTACTGGCAAAAAACTAGATATTGCTGTGGAAAAGTAAGTACTGGTGACAAATAACTAGATACTGCTACTGGAACAGTAGATTCTACTTATAGAAGACTGGATACTGCTGACAAAAGACTTGATACTACTAATAGATACTAAAACTGCTTACAGAAAACTAAATAGTGCCAGCAGAGGACTTAAAAGTCTAGATACTTTTAGTAGAAAACTAGATCTGCTGCAGAAATTTAAATACTGCTTGGAAGAGCTATAGCTTATAGAAATGTAGATTCTGTTTGCAGAAGATTTTTAAGAATATCTTTACAAACATAGCAACGCAACCCAACAAAGTACTTAAATTTCTATTAGGTCGTAAGCAATAATAATAGCTTAGCTTTTTTTCTACTCAAAATGACAAAAATATGATCAGTCACTATTGTGAAAGAATAAGTTTATAAATTTTTAGTTAGAAATAAGTTTTTCAATACCCACCTGATACATTCCAGCAACACAAGTCATAATTTCACCAAGATCGTCCATATTATTTAAACTCATACAGATCATTGTTACTAAAAGTACGGTATTGTGAAATTGCACAACCGTAAAAAAACCAATTATAAATCGCGTATAAGCATCCTTTTTGACTTTAGCTGGGTTAGAACCGATTACGGATAAAAATAGTAAAGGAATTTTAAATGCTTTCATACGATGCGATTCTGAAACACCTTCACCTTCCATTTTCACAATATTTGTTTTAAACGTATTTAACCAACGAGTAATAATGAAAGAAAAGCGAAATGGCTTTATATACTTGCATATCCTATGGATAAACGCCCACCAATTTAGTCTAATTATTCCTTTCTTGGATCGACTAAGACAAGAAAATTAAATTCGCTTTAATTTAAATTAAATTTTGAATAAATTATGATTTTATACGATACACGTATATTTTAGTTCAAGATGTTTCATTTCCCATCTTCTTCTAATATTAGAAATTAATAAAAAGTTTTTAATGGAGGTCAACTGGACCCAACTCAAAATCGGCAATTTAATTTTTTTTTGTTTATATTAAAATAAATTCTCTTATTATTTCAATAATGCCCAAAAATAACTGAGGTTTTCATGGCAATAAATGTAAACATAAAATTAATCAATTTTATTTTAACGACAATTTTAAAATATTCATTTTAACAAGATGATGGAATAACGTAAGTTTTATACGTTAATTTTTAAGTTTACTATGTAACTATCTAATTATATTATGTTTTAAATTGTGTGGATTATGCTGGTCAAAAAGAATACATCTGCGCAATGCGTACCAGAACTTACGTTGATGATAATGACGATTGGAAAGATCGTAGATTTAGTGGAGATTCCAAACTTTCCATAACAAGGTGGGAGTGGCCCTTCAAAATTAACGCACGTCTTAAACGCGTACATTGGCACAATGGTCCAAGAAATGATTTTTTCTGAAAAAATTTTCAGGAGATGCTTTCCTTGCCATATGGAAAAGTGGCGTTAACGATTCCATGCAAGATTGTATTTATCAAGCGGTCGCTTGCGCGTTGGTTATTCAAAAAAACACATGTATTTTCGATTATCGGTGATCACCACGATTTGCATTATATCGTTATTGGCCAACCGATATTTGATGTTAAATCGGTTGAAAAGAAAAGCATTGCTGGTGATGTTATGATTTGTCATACTGCTTGGAATTATTTGAACCCTAGCGGATATTTATATGAATATATGGAAGATGGAATTTATATAAAGGTAACCTAAAAAATTTTTTTTGTACTTTTCTACCGACTCTAGGACAAATATCTTGATCTATGTTTCACTTTCATATGTTGTGATCTAGTGGTGGGCAGTGGAACTAAACCCCAAAAAGATTTCTGAAATCTGATGTTTCTAAAATTCAAATTTGTCTGATGGCAATGGCATCTATATTTTAAAATTTTTAAAATTCGCGCCCCGCCAAGTGGCGCGAATTTAGGAGGTGGAACTACATACATCAGTCGTTGGTTGCTTACCTCATGTAGTGCCATCTAGCGGGGAAGGGGCCCCAATATTTTTACCTTTTCAGTTTAGTATTAAAAGCTTAGCAATTAAAGTTTAGTATTAATTAAAAAAATGATAATAAGTATGTAGGTAAGAAATACATTTATTATTATTATTTTATTAAAACAGTGGTGTAAATTAACGAAATATATAATACTTACTTATTTAATTGAATTTAAGCGAATTGAATCGATAGCTGCAAGGTGAAATATAAATACTACTTTAAAGGTTGAATTTGAATTTGAGCGGTTGAAGAAAAGTAGAAACAACAGTTGTGTTAATACATTTATTATTTAATTTTTAAGTAAAAAATAAATTTTTATAATACAATTACGGTTTAAAAAATTTATATTCACACATATGAACTGGGTATCAGATTACATATCAGATTTCTTGAAAAACAAATTTCGAGAAATAACAGGTAAATGCGAATTAAGCAGTTTAGGGCCATCTATCGGTCAGCGGCCCCCTCTTTTAGTTTCTCCACCCACCACCAGATGGCGCCACATGATCCGGAGCGCATGCGCAGTGCTTTGGAAGCACAGGGAGCAACTTCCGGTCCAGAACCGGCATTAATACACTACTTACGCTGGAAAGTAAGGAGACTTTGTGATTAATATCAAAACGAAGGGGTTTGCTACTTTCGAAGATACAGCCAATGGGTGAGGTCTGCATTCAAAAATCCTCTTCAAAAAGTTGTATGAAAGATATTGTGTATGCTAAATCGCTCACAATGAAAGAATAGAAGAGTTCGTGATGTATTTCGATCTTTTTTTTTCGCAAGAAATTCGGAGTGCTATTCATGCCGGGATTTTAAAAAGAATTTATAAATATTTGAAAGTTTAGGGCAACCAGATCGAACATTTACTGTAGTTATATTAATTTTTCATGTGGTCTTGAAAATGTTGTCAATTTTGTTTTTTGATTTTTCATTTATATTGTTAAATATAGTAGGTACCTTAATTTTTCTTCTTGCTTTTATAAATTTTTATTCAATTACGAAAGTTATAAAATGTGTAGACCTCATCTATGGGCTGTATCTTCGAAAGTAGTAAACTCCTTCGTTTTGATATTAATCACAAAACTCCTTACTTTCTAGCGTAGAATAATTTTTGTTTCATATCGGTTCCTTCAAACCAAAGGCAACTGATAATTTATAATTTTCAAACAACCACGAAAATATCGGTTTTTTCAAGTTTCTACAAAAACCATTCATTTTACATATAGGGATGTAATCACAAAGTCTCCGTATTTTTCAGCGTACAATACGCTGGTGAACGAATAGGGTTGCCATTTAATATTGCCATAACTTTTCGACTGTTTGAGATTTTGAGTCTTATTTTAATTATTTATTAAACGTGGGGTATACTTGTTTTTAAGTTTTATATAATTGTTATCCTGAATAAATTCATATGTTTTTTTCTAAATACAAACTTTTATCCAAAATTACAATGCCTTATCTGCTTTAACAAAAATACCCTGCGTTAATTTGCTTTTTATAGATTTTATGTTTTTCCAGTCATTATTTTTATTTTTACTTCCATTGTTCTTATTTATGTTTTCTATAACTTTATTGCTATTCAACAAATAAATAAATTTGCTCTTGATTTCATTATAATTTTCCTAATAAATCTTGGGAATCGACCATATAAGGCTATTAAAACAAAGTTTTTTCCTTTAACCGAGCTTACGGAATAATTTTATTCCTTCTTCAGGGCAAAACTAATCAATTAAAACAAAACAAAGACCAAGACTTTCAATTAAAGAAAAATTAAAACTGAACAATACTCACAAATGGAAGCATAAAAAGCCACATACATAACGTAAGCCTGGATACTCAGTTTAACACTTCAATACTCAAAAATATGATAGTAAACAAATACATTATCAAAGTTACAAAAATTAAGCACAAAATAACGTTAAACTACAATTTAAAATTATAAACGTCTAAATTATAAAGTTCGGCACAAGCTACGTTAAAAGTTGAAAAATCCAGATTTACATGTAAGAACCAAAGAAACAAGGAAGGGAAAAAAACAATCTTTATTTCAGAAAAATAACAAAAGGTGGCGTCGAGAAACATTACAATTCCAAAATTTAATAACAACAAACAATAAAATGAATTATATCTAAAACCGTAAAAATATCAAAAAAAAAAAAAGTTAAAAAGTCAAAAAAAAAACTA